AGTTTGTCGCACATTCAAGAAAGGTGCCAAACACTTAGAACTGTAGATCGGTCAGCTTAACGAGTCTTTTAGTCTAATTATTAACGAAGCCAGTAAGAAATGCCGCTGAAACCCACTTCATGATGTATGGCTTGTTCAGACCGTCTAAACATAGGTTTCGCGAAGGGTACTTCCGTCTGACTGACACGTTGTGCGCTCAAGAATGCTGGCTCGAAGCGGTAGAGCAATGTCAAGCGGTTGACGTGCTGTTCATTAACTTCGCTGTTGCATTCGGCACCTAGCCACCCTGCTGTCTCTTGTCCAAACTGCAGGTATATGATATGCTTCGCGTCGAATAATTGCAGTGGATGAGTTCGAGTGGGCTCTAATCTATCTCAATGGTACAATGGTATATTACGGGCAAAATAGCGGATACTTAGCAAGTCCCGTAGGATGGCCTGAATGAGAACCACAACCTGAGGAATAGAAAACAGAGGGATACAATGAAAATCGTTTTGGTGGAGTCATCACAGTGTTAATACAGAGGCACGTAGAAAGAGTCAACCACAGTTGTGTAGGTTAATTCTGATTGTGCCAAGTTCGTCGCATTATATCGTCCATCAATACACACAGGCTATATCTCGTGGTGTAGGTGTGTTAGGGCAATATCAAGGCGGTTTTTTACACACAGGTAAATTGGGGACGGAAACGACGTAATTTGGGAGGGCGTTCCAGGGCTGACATACACGAAGAGAGTAAAAGTTCCGTCGACATTCTAGCCGACTGTATTGCGTGGCTAACTTGAACTGGTGGTTCAGTTGTAGTAGGTGACAGCAGATGTGGCTGGGGTTCCTTAGAATCTGGTAAGCTATAATAAGGTCGCCAGGTAGGCGCCAGTACCGGCCACTGTATAATTTTAGGATCCTAAGTCTAAGTTGATAAGGAAGGTTGAACAACCCTTTGACTGATTCGTGACTCGTCGCTATGGAGTCTCGAGCGCTGCAAGGTCTTGTTTGTGCCAGGACTGCCACACCTGGATCGCGTATTCCACATGAGGCCGCACGTAGGTGTTAAGCAACTGCGAACAGACAGAGGGATCAAAGCGCCCAAATGCCCTCCGCACCATGCCAACGTGTTGGTTTCCGGTCTTTGACGCCTTCTCAGATTGTTCTGAGCAACCGAGATCAGCCTAAACTAGTAACGCAAGGTCGCGCTCCTCGGTAACTGCTTGCAGGACATGATCTCAAAGCTTATATGTAATGTTCGGCTAGTGGCAAACGTGAACCACCTTACACTTCCCCGAATTGAACTGGAGCAGATTGTGGAGTGACCACTAATACGCTCTGTCCAAGTCTCGCTGTAGTGCATCGTGATCTGCTGGGTCGGCGATCTTCCGCCACATCTTAAAATATTCAGCAAACAGCAATAAATCTGAAGTAATCAAACGCATTAGCTCGTTAATGAGCACGAGAAACAGATGCGGCCACAGAACTGATCCTTGTGGAACTCCACATTCGACATAAATCGGATCGGACAGCGCACTATGAACTCTGACCTGCTGTTGCCGATCCTGCGAGAAATTCTTGATCCAGCCAAGGACTGGATTTCAACACGCACTTGACCGACTGTGTTTGCATTCAGCCTACTGGTGTCGACTATGCAACAGATGGCATCCGCAAAACTGACGATCACAATGGCACGCACCACTTGCTCGAGGGAAGCTAGGCCTAAATATTCAAAAATGAACGTTGATTGTGGCGCAGAAAACTATGTTGCACTTGTGTAAGTTTGAATAGAATGCACTAACCGCCATAAAGAAGTACATCCTAGATGTGCTCAGCTTAGCCCCAGCGATATAAAGAAAATTCAGAAGACGATTAATTTCCTCTGGTTCTGCACTAAGTGTACGGCTAGTCCATTCGTTATACTTATGTGTGTTGGCACATAAGTGCGACAGACTGACAAAGATTGTAGAGCAAACAGCCGTCAGGAGAGCTGTCCCACCCACATGAACAAGACAACTCTGTGTCTCGAACTCAAACTCCAATTCAGAACAGTGTAGCCAGGCCGAACGTAGGAGCAATGATTCAGAATTAACCACCTCAATACTATGAGCTGCTCACACACTCTTTATCAGGGTTATGCGACACATCGAATATGGTTAGAGGGTCGACTACATACTCATACGTTGTTGCTACCAACTTGACAGAAACATCTCCCATTGTAACCACGTCCGTTGTCAAACTAGGTGCCGTCAATTCTACCAATACTACCACAAGACTCAAAACGTCGTTAGTCGTCCAATCAAACAGCCACAGGTTCCTCCCAAAAAGAACATGATACATACCAAAATTCAACAAGAACCCCAGGCCGAGGCAAACATTTGTTTTTATTGTTTCATCTACGGGCCGGTACAAATCATATAAGGTTAAAACACGAAGAAAATACATGGCGATTGGTTCAGACGTAGGTCAGTGGTTAGACAGTGGATAGTTCGTCGCTGTCCTGTACACACATAAATCGATCGGGGTTACGTAATCACACTGACGACACCGGTGTCGGAGTGACGGTTAGGTTGACTGCTGTTCGGCCAGGGTAGACAAACCGATCGAAAGTTCTTTTGCTAGCATAACGGAGATTAGAATATTCGGATCGCAATACCTTCTGATGTGACGAGTATTGGTAGACGCAGACATTTCAACTTGTTCAAGAAGACCTGGTAAACCACAGTAAATGCGGAATTTTGTCCCACCTATAAGGATAAGGTCACAGGGTAAAACTTTCGAACGCATTTACTGTGGTTTAGCAGGTTCCCTTGAAAAAAGTCAAAATATCTGCGTCCACGAATACTCGCCACAGCAGAAGCCATTGCGATCCGAATATTCCAACCTTCATGCTAGCAAAAGTTCATTCAATCGGTTTGTCTACCCTGGCCGAACAGCAGTCAATGTAACCGTCACTCCGAAATCGGTGTCGTCAGCGTGATTACGTAACCCCGATCGACCTATGTGTGTGCAGTGACGCACTATTGGACTGGTGTTCTTGATGAATCGCTTAGAATGTTCCACATTTTGAAACATGCTAAGCTGCCTCACGTGGTCAAGTATCTTAACCAGTTCCTAAAGTGTTAAACACGTTTCCACGTTCATTTTCTGAATGACTGTATGAATACTCGTGAATACTTAACCGCGTTTTGGAAAAATCTTCGCCGAAGCCGTCTTTCTCCGGACTATAAGACCCTTCGTCGTCACGCGCTAAATCAATGCGACACTATTTGTGTCAAAATTTCTGAACTTCGAAACCTCACCTAGAGACAATCCAGTGTTGATACACTAATCTCAGAGGAAAAGCGGGTGTTCGTGGATTATGTTCAACAGATCATAGACAGAAAAGTGCAAAATATGTTCAATCATCTTTATGAAACCACAGGCTATTTTCAAGACCCATCCAGAGAAGTAGGTCCATAATTATTCAAAGCTGGTCCTTTCACCTGAACTGCTTGAAGTACAACATTCGGTTCCAAATTCTGTTATCCTAAACGCAATGAACATCAACTAGATATGGAGACCCAATTCGAAAACTCGCTGGCGCAAACGCACGATTTCGCAGCGCTATCAACTGATGCGCTTGAATGCTTCAATTCCTCCTTGGTTAGTTGTTACCACCAACATCGTAAGTATCAGGCAAATCAACATGGCCTGATTAAACGTAAACATCTGACAGCCCTAGACGAGTTAAGGAGGAACAAAAACATATGCAGTGGTCTAGAGATTCCCGTCTGTTTGGATACGATGTATAAAATATTATAAATATATAATATCATCTTGTACCTAGGTAACGGAGGAAACGTGTCTGTTCGAACGATGACTATGTGTGTTTGAGCCAATCAGAGGAATGGCACTTCGCGCGCTTCCAGCTTCTCCGGCTCGAAGTGTGCTAGCGAGGTCTGCGTTGGTGTCCATTTCCCCCTAGCTAGAACCTTATTGCGACGCCTTTAGCTAACGGGATGGAGCATTTCGACAATAAACGTCTATCTCGCCTATATATTCGTCCTTTTCCGAGCTTTCCTTAGGGCGGGACGAACCCGCGCTATGTTATGCTATGCTATGCTATAGCAACCGAGTGATTTCTCTATAACTGACGTCCGTGACCGAAAATTCGGCAAGACGTTTACTAAATTTTCCTTGCGGGTTAGTTAATTCCTGTGGTGCGTCCATCAAGTTGCACTTGTTGTGCTTATTTCGGGTTTTGTATCCCTTTTGTCATGGATGCGTGTGACACAGTTCCCGACGGCCAGGCAGAAACTGTAGCCATCGCCACACCGCCATTTCACGAAAGCAATTCAAAACATTGGTTTGTCCAGTGAGAAGCACTATGTTAACTGCTTGGCATCAGATATGACAGTATCAAATATTTCCACGTCGTATCCACGCTTCATCCTCACGTCGTCGATGGCAACAACGATATCCTCGATTTTACAGCAGAGAGGAAATTAAAGCAGTGGTTCTTAAAAGGACAGGTCTTTCAGATCGGCAGCGTGCCACAAAGCTTCTGAGCGAAACGGAGTTGGGTTACCTCAAACCATCGCATTTGCGAAAGATGCCAAGTTTAGCCAAACCCGCCATGGTAGACGACGCAATTCTCAAGGAAATGTGGTTTCGTAGATTGCCGCGTGAAATGTGCAACGTACTCTACGCAAGTACCGAGGCACCACTGCCCTTAATGGCTGATATCGCGGACCAAAATCTGGGAATGGTATGGATAGATTTAACAAATTCGATCTATGCCGAACGACGGTATGGTAGAATTGAAAGCACAAATCGCCACACCCATCAAAATTTTTTACCGATTTCACAACTTCCCGGAGTAGCTGTAGATGCCGCTTATCAAGTCGCAGACGTCCCGTTCGATCAAAATCTCTGTCGAGATGAACGCGCTGAACTTCTTCTCACTGTCGGTATCATCATGCTGAAAGTAGCTGTTGAAAAGTGTCCGACCTGGTGAAGCCCAATAAGACAGAGGAAAGAAAATCAGGGCATCGTGTTAGAAGTCAAACTCTACAAAGCCCTCTGTGTAGTACAGCACGAATTTAGGCCAATTCCAGGGATGGTGAACGCGAAGAATAAAGCCAAATATCTATCTTTACTTTGAAAACTTAGTTACGATAGAATAAAAACACAAATGGATACAATCGGAAAGTTCATCTGTTTAATAAGAAAAGAAGAATGCACAAATGCAATTCCACAGGTAGCACAATAATCATCTGTCGGTTATCAAAAGTCCTGGAGAAAACAAATCAGTGGGCATAGTCATTGGATCAGTGCGTCGAGCATTCATGTGGGCTTGGATGACGTCGGAGAACTCATATCTTCCAGCCAGGCGGTAACCAACACCGAGAAGGCAAGATATTCGTGAATTCAACACATTCGCTTTTTCCAGAGGAAGATCTAAAAAATATCGAACACCTACATTTAGGTATACTGGGGGACAGCAATTCGAACGTGAAACATAACATTGGGCAAAATCGATTCGGTCTCACGAACATTATGAATGTCATCGCAACAGAACCACTGTCAGTGATGCGGTCGCAGAGTTGGCGCTCTGGCATTTCGTGGGTTTTTTCTGTCAGCAAATACTGACGCGTTTGGACTCGTTCAACTCCTATCCACGAGCGATGTTCCGAATGGGTATCTCCCAACTGCGTTTCTAGAAGTAGTATGGCTAAATCTCGTGGGTACGACCACCAATTTCTTGTATGCAAACACAACGTTTTACCCTAGTTCGAGAGAATGCTTGAAGGGCTTTCTATGCAGCTCTAGCTAAGAACAATCAGACAATACGTGCGGTAACTGCAGCTCATTCCTTCAGTGACGCTACATTTATCAAGCCACTGCGGATCCAAAGATAGCTCACGCTTCCCGACCGTGACTGTGCACGCGTCTAAGACTGCATTTCCAACCGCGCCGACGCATTGCTCAGCACCTCCAATCGTCTAATCGATACCAGTGAAATAGGACTTTTTAACGCAGCTGACAGTTCAATAAGCACACAATAAAGCGAATTACTAGGTCGCTAACGGCACAGATCTGGAACGGTACGAAGTGAAAGGTGCTGGGTTTCAGCGTTCGTGTCCCCTACATTTTAGCCCGAATTAGAAGTCAATCGGTGGAGTCACTCTTCTTGTCTTAGTACTTCGTCCATGTATCACTTCGTCTAAAGCTTCGCATTTGGTTCTGGCCTTACAATGTAAAATAAAAAACGGTTTTCGTCCATTAACCTGAGTGTTGACATACGGTCATGAAGACCAATTTTTCCTTCCGATTTTTTAATTCAGAATACCAGAAAACCATTTATTCCATTGAAAAATACGGTTAACCAGCGTCAGACAGCTAGCCGTATGCCAGTAGTTAGAAAGATTTAGATTCGCCCTAACAAAATGCAGTTGGTTGCAGGGGACCACAAGGAGAAAACTGGGATTCGGCTGACAAAACTAACAGCAGCATTCTATGGCTTAATCTGACAGCAAAATCTACAATCTGGTAGACGAGACAATAGTATAAAAAACTCAAAGAATCCAGTCAGGTGCTTGAGAGACTGCCTGATAAAGCTAATGTCAATCACTTGCAGGCAGCAGCACTGATCTTTTCGACGCGTGCACAATCCTAGTTAGAGATGAATGTTATGCCCATCAGTTTCACAAGAGAGCGAGCTTGTTTGCTACCAAAACCGATTTCAAGTGTAGTATGAGCAAACGTGAATCGGCACCTCTTCAGAAGGAAATAAATATAAAGTTGGTGTAAAGCCGTAAAATTATTAGTCGTCAAGCTGATGTGGAACCTACGATGGGATTATGCAATCAGTTGAATAAGGCGGATTTACATAATGAGGCAAGCAGCTACATTACCATGTGAGCGGAGCAGTTGATTGGATGCCTACGCATCGCCACCTCTATGCTGATGGAACAACATTTGGCTGCTCCGGAGAAAGTTTATTTGACTGAGGCAAAGAGGAATCTCATGAATGCAGAGGTGTCGTTAGTTATGAAGTGACCTAAGTATTTACATCGAGACTTCTACAAACTAGTTATGCTGTCATTTACACAGAGAAGAAACCGTGTCTCTGAAAGACCGGGTTCTGCGTCATATCAGAAGAGATGAAGATAAGTTCATCGAACGATGCTCAGCTACGATTTGGAGCGCAACCAGCTGCTCAATGAATGTGGAAAAACATTAGTTGGTTAGTGCCTGAAGAATTTGGAAAGGCAAGTGAAATGAGTTCTGCGCACTGGTGAGTCTAAATGAACAACCGATGGCGATGTTTCGATATACAATCAGACGCAGCGCGCTGTTTTGAAAACGATGCAGTAAGAAAAGGACGAATATCCAACCGATCTGGATACAACCATTTGACAATTCGGCAAATTTTGTGCGGGTTAGACTCACAAGACGTATCAGAGTTATCTCTATTTTACTCGAAGCAGCCGCCCGAACGACAAAAAGTCGACAAAAGTAACTTCACACAGGCGGATTCACTGCGGTATAGGTATCATAAACTGCAATCCACTGTATATGTAAGGAATGACGACTAATGGGATGCTGGTAAAAACCGCGTCGATTCCTGTTGAACACATAGAGGTGAAAATGTGGAATTTATCCTGCGAGCTGACCAGTAGTGAAATCTATAACAGACATTCGTGTGTGGGCATGAGAAACGAGTGAGATGGTGCAGTCAAACGAGTGCACAGTCAACTTGGGCTTTGAACTCAACCGGCGTGGGAGCACGGGTGACAGATTCCGGTGGGGAATTCCACACTTTGCTAAGGTGTACGGAAAAGAAATTCCAACGGTATTCCAAACGATTGTGATAGTGGCTTCTCAGATTGCCAGTACGTGTGGTAGCGAACCATCAAAAACTGGTAAGTCAGAATAAAGGCCAAATACAATCACCGGTATTGTTCGCTGAAGAGCCCGAGCACTCGACGCCATGGTTCATACGGTAAATGATACAAACTCTTGACATGCTTGGTTGCCCGTCATTGGAATATTTGCAAGGCGCTGCTAGACTTGGCTGCTAGACTTGTATTTCGTATTCTGTATGTGGATATATGCATGAGCTAAGAATCTGTTAAAAATCCGCGAGTCGAATTGTCCGAATGCACGCCTCAGGAGGCCCACGGTGTTGGATACCTTACCTTGACGCCGTTCCAGACATATTCGAACATCCAAGATCGATCTGGACCAAAACGCCCAGATCCTTTTCATTAGGAGACGTTTGAACCTCATAGTTGCCGAGATAGTAAGAGCACGCCACCTGTTGCCGTAAGTGCAGCACTCGACATTTACCCATGTTAAACCGATTTAGATTCCGGATTGACCAGGTGTAAACCCTATTCAGATCGGTTGAAATAGTGTAATATTATCTGGTGAATAGATCGCCCTGCACATCTTTGTCATGGCCGCAGAGCAGGCAGTTGGAGCTGATGAGGCGTATGATATCGTTGATATCTGTCAAAAGCAACCGCCGTCCCAGTACACCCTGTGGTACTCCGCATTTAACTTGGATGGGAGCTGACAGAAGCTTCACAGACTTGTATCACCAGAAGCCGGCGTAGGAGAAAGCTTCTGATCCAACCTAGGAGAGGATCACAAATACCAAAGGTCTAGAGTTTGGGGAGCAGAATGCCAGGGTCTAGCCGGTCGAATGCCTTTGAGAAGACAAGAAAAACATCGATTCCTATGCCAGTGTTTACTACTTCGGCCCAGCTGGATCATGCTAGCAGTAAATCTGTAATACACAACCGATTTCATCGGAAGCCATGTTGTTCTGGTACAAGGTAGGTAAATTATTCCAATCAGGCCATTAGCGCATCGACAATAGTGGATTCCATAACCTATGAAAGTACCGGTGGCAAGAATACGTGATGGCGATTCGCTGATTCGGAATGATGACGGTAGTTGGGGTACGGCGAACCGAAGTGCCGCAGCTCTGAAGTTGGTTGTTTTTTACGTGCAGTCATCCAAATCGTGGATTATTATACATCATTCGATCCCTCCTTGTGTGCTCTATCCTTCAATGGTAAAAGGTTGGAATTATATCTAATGGTTTCTGTGAACACTGTAAAACTTATTTAGCAATCCAACATGAATCGTGGGTTTGACTAAAGGGCGTTGCTGTAGAGCTCGGGCCACTTTTATCTCTCGTTTTATATTTATCTTATATAGTTTTGTATGTGCTTTGGATTGAGCTGTTTTATCTATGTAAGTAAAGATCTCTCCAGAATCCCCATTTTTTGTGTTGTTACTCTGGATGAGCCTGCTAAGATAGGATTTCCCTACATGGAGTAACTACTTGCATGTTTTTGATTTTAAGTGCTAGTTATTTTATTTTATGTTTAAGCTTTTACGTTTTTGTTCGTGTTGTATTTGATGTCATTTCCTTTAAAAATATAATCATTTTTACTTAATAATACCTTCTAATTCTAGACTGCTCCAGATGAGCCTCCGCTGTCCTAATGCGCACCTAGTGGATACCCACAGCTTTTAGACCGAACAGTAGTTGTTGGCTTATCGATGGTAGGTTATATCGAACGATACCAGTGAGCTACCGAGAAAATTAGGTGGAACGTTGACGGATCAGTAACGGCAGTGTACGGAACGAACATATACAAACTATGATTGCTTAATAGCCAGTTATTATCGGCGTAAGATAAGGCTTGAGGGCGATCTACACTACAATAGTAGACATTTGAGATATTATAACAGTTTTGAAGTGTCTCCAACGTTTTATTTTTCAACCATGCGTATTTCTGGTTTTAGCTTAGGTGCATATACAATGTTAGGAGGACTCATCCCTGAGCGCTCTACTTCTCTGATTTTAGCTGTAACCACAATAGTGGATTAGGCATTGTTGTTGGTCTCTTATCCTTGTCTTTGCTCACTTGTTGCTCTGGCTTATTTTTAACTCTCTATCCCAGTCTTGTCCTAGTCATTTCTGTATTTTATTGTGTGGCCCGAGCTCTATGGAAAAACACTACTTTTAGTCAACTAACAACATAATGGACTTGTCACATGCATTACATCACGCCGATCCCGCGTCGAACAAAATCCTTCTTAGCTCGTCCCTGTCAACTTCAACAGTGTCTTTCCAACAAAGGCTCCACACCTGTAACATTTGCCACAAAACATTTTCCACTGCAGCGTGTCTTTCTCGCCATGGGTGGTATCACCAACGACATCCCAATGACCGACGTCTCCGTGATGAGAAAGCAACAAATCAAAAGTGTGATCGTCATTTTGTATAAGCCCGGGCTCTAATAACCCACTATCGTCGGACACACTCTAGCGACTGGGACGCTGTGAAGGAACCTCGGGCTACAACTGATTCCATTTATTGGACGGAAGAAGAACGGAAAGTTCTACAATATGCGACGGACTTGTGCTCGACTGTT